TTTTGGTTTTTTAGGTCTCTTAGATGAGCCTGCTAATAAATTTTTTTCGTGATATCTTCAGCCATAATGAGTTCAGGATATCTTTTATTATTTAAGATGATAGAAAAACACTATTACTGAGTCAAAAGCCATAAAACACACTTGTAAAAAGTATTTTGCGTTTTTCTCAAAATCAGATTTTTTGTTTTTACGTTTTTGTGCATCCCAAATTTCTTCGTCATTTTGAAAGCTAGAAAGTTCGGGTTTGTTTTAAATCATAGCTAAAGTCTGACACTACAACTTAACAAAACCCGATTTTTTAATTTCATGATTGATGTCACATGGAGAGAAGATGTTTGAGAACTTTCACCCTAACAATGTCATACCATGACGTAGAAATTCTTTAAAAACTAAACTACAGACAAATTAAAAAATCGGGCTTTGTTAAGTTGTAGTGTCAGACCTTAGCTGTGGTTTAAAATAAACCTGAGCTTTCTGGCTTCTAGAATGGCGAAGAAATCTGGGATGTACGAAAACCCAGTTTTTAAGCATTGACCTTAGGTTATTTCTTGAAAGGCTCAAGATTTCAAGCTGAAATTTTCACCACGAGGTGCCAAGCCCAAGACACATCTACTCTGAAAATTTCGTTAAAGTCGGATGTTCTACGGCAAAAATAGAATTTTGGGTGGGGGCTGGGCCTTAAGCCATATCATTTAAATAGTCTTAAATCAAGAATTAACTATTATAGAATCGAGTACAATTGAGAGATTTTATAGAGGTTCATCGCGCAATACCGGACTCTCGATGAATCCATGTCTCTATAAACCGTTTCGCATTAACAGCTATTTGTTCTTTTTGATATATTATTAAAAATTATCTTTTTCTTTGTGCATGAAATCGAAATACGATGTATACACATGGATGAAATCCGCTCGTGTTGTACGGTTAGCAGAAAAAAATACAAAAAAAAGTGAACATGGAGATAATTTGACTTTCACATTCGATAGAGCTTTATTCTTTGTATACGAATTGGATATTTTGTAAACTACCAGATTTGTCATTTAAAAAAACCGAGCTATCTGAGTCTGTGTATGTTCAGGTATTTGCTGACTTTGTAAAATTTTTACATTAGCATTTTTTACGTTATTGTTGCATATCAATCGAATTATTTTGGAAGCATTAATCTAATGCGAAAGTAAATAAAAATAAACGAATACATTTAGGCTGTTGCTCGGCAAGAAATCGATTCATTGGTGGTGAGAAACTAGTATTCTATGAATAATTTGTAGGATAATGGTGAAAAAGATCGTTTTTCTGTTATCCAAAATATTTCAGTTTCTTGTGTTGAAGTCACGTCAACGGCAGCTCGTGATAATATTCCAAGAGAATTTTTCACCGTAGCCCCCAATCGGTTTCGGTCTACCCTGTCTTCCCTACATGGATGATAAAATTTTTTGGACACTGCCGCAATGGAATTACGGATGTCGATCAGAACTTTGATTAAGAGCTGTAGCCAAATAAACTGTCAAATCATCAGAAATTACATCGGATCTGATTGCAACACAACACACCGAAATATCTTTGAGAGCAGAAGAAAAGTCTTTTTCACGTTTATTTATTTTATGCAAAATACAAACTTACATCATGATAGTAAACGAAGCAAAAGTCAGATCTCAGAGGTACTCTTGGCACGAGAAAGTTAGTAAATATTCAGAATAGTCTCTCAATCTAAGAAGAGTAGACGAAGCATATAACAATAAGTACTCTTTTTAAAAATAAATATAAATAAATCTGTTGGGCATTTTTCGAGTAAGATACTCTTTTCTCATGAACACTGTATTTCTAAAAGTTGAAATTTTCACCATAGTTCTACCCACAGAAAAATTTCTTGAGTAAAACCGCGATTTTCTGCCAGGACAACGCGGTGTCATTGAAAAAAACACGGTTTTTCTCACCACATTCATAGTAAATCGTAGTGTCCTTGAGTTAGACTGCAGTATTTGGTATCGCGGTTTCAAAAACCACAGATAATCCATCTGGCACTGCAAAGTCACATTGTGGTAAGGACACTCGAAAAAGTTCACTACATTGCCATTTGAGGGGCAACTTTCCTGGGATTCGGTGGAAGTTCAGGCAGGTTTTCTGATCTCCAGCCAAATCTGATCGCTCTGATATGAGCGGAAAAATCGCCGTATAGCACAGTGCACGAAAACCGCGTCGCACCACGTCCTAAGAAAACCGCGGGAGTCAGACCATTTATTTAGTTTTTTCAAAACGAGTCTTACCGCGTCTTCTGAAAATCATCGTTGGCACCGGTTTTGAAATAACGAATAAGTGATCCGACTCCCGTGATCTTCAAAAACCGTGGTTTTTTCGCAATCTTTTTCCGTGGATACCATATGGTCTGCTAAAAATGATAAAAAAGCCCTGCTTGATCTTTTGTAATTACTGAGAAGTCAAAGTAATAAAATCAAAAAATGTGTTGGGACTTTCGTTGGAACCATATCCACTTGCTCATCTTGTTTTTAATTTTTTTCCGACCGAAAGATTTCTGACAACAACATTTCTCTCCAAAAGATTTCTCGCCCTTTAGTTTCTTTCATGCAAAAAGAAAATCTGAGTTTACTTCTGAATCGACTTTAATAGCTTCAATTCGATCTGTCGGGACATAAAATGTCTTGTTAGTGTGTCTAGACAATTTTTGCAATATTTGGTGGGTATATTGAAATCAAAACTGTATGTAACTTATATAGTCAGAAAGAGAAAAATCTTGGCTATAAATTAGCTGTAAAAAATTAATTTTGTCCAATGAAAGTTATGGCAAAGGAAAGTGAGTTTTTGTCGGTAGGAGCCGCAAAAATCAGTGATTTATTACCTTTTTTTCTTGAAAATCTCGCAGTGAGATCAGCCTAAAGACTTAATAATATGTTTGGTAGATGGCTTAGATACTAAGAATTTTTTTTAAATTATCAAAATCCATTGACTACGAACTGATATATGAGCGTTTTACTGGTGGCGACCCAACGGTACAATACGAGCACAATTCACCCATGTATAGCCATGTTGCAAAAATTGAATCATTTTTAGCGGCAAACCGCAGTGTTCGTCATAACCGACGGTAGACCGCGGTCAATTGCAGCAATGGAAGCCGTTAAAACCGCGGTAAACCGACGGTTTTATCAGATGGGTATATATTTAATAGTATGCATTCGTTTTGTTTTGTCCGTAAATGTTCTATGTTATGGCAGTTTAATTAACGATCAATCTTAGTAATAAAAGAAAATATTTTAGAAATATTTATATATATGATTAATCAGATTAGATTCATTTTAGAAGTCTAATTATCCTACGAACAAACTTTACCCGTGAAAAAGTTTTAGGAAAAATGCCGCTGCTAACAGCAATAATGAAGAGGACAGTTAAAGACGACAAGACTAGACTGCAATAGCTCGACCATGTTGTCGCTTTTAAAAAACAAACACATAATAATATTCCTTCGATTTCATGTTATCTAACTGGAAACACGATCTGACTTGCAGTGACGTATCACATTTTTTTAAACTAAGGTGAATCAACAAAGCTCTACCATAATCATTTTCTTTATTGAATTGGTACAAATCGCAATAGTATAAATTCGTCTGACTGTGACAGAATGATTGCAATCTATGTTAGACAACACCTTATAACTAGTAAGAGATGACATCTTTTTTGTCTTTTCACATTCTTATATACATCATTTATGTCGTACAAGAAATGCATTGTGAGACTAGCAAACATCATATCTATTGTCATTGGCAACAATCACAGTTTCTCTTATAAATATTGCATTTTGTCACATCGCTATATAATAAAAGAATCTTTTTTTCAAAATGCCTAATGATGAGGAAACGTGTGTAAGATTAAATTTCGAATTGTATGTGAAATACTTATGAATAAGATTATACTATCCTATGGTTAGAGCCGCGTTAATCGTGGCATATGAAGCGACCACTAACGATAGTATCTAATAGGATAGTTAAAGATAAATAAACCGCAATTTGTGGCAAGCACGATGAGAAATGCCGCCGTTTTCCTTATGGCAAGACGATGTTGTTCAATAAAACGACGGTGAGTTTAAGAAAGTGTGTTTGACCGTGGTTTTAGTGAAAACTTATTTCTGTAAATATGCTTCCAATTAAAGCTTAAAATAAAATGTGCATGTATATAAAAAAATTCGTGTGTCTATGTTAATATGTATGATATATAACTTACTGAGTATTTATTTGTAATAATTGTAGTTGATTGATGAATATGATGATTATTTGAATATGTTCGAAAAAAAGGTAATATATTTGTATTAGTTAATGGTTGAAAATTATCAATAATAGTTTGATTATCGTTTGATATAAATGTCGGTATCCATCGTATAAAACCTGTTATTGTGTTATCATTGTTTGCAAATGAAAATGTTTTTAAATTAAATTTAAATAAATGATTATTAATAAAAGGAAGATAAATATATAAATATTTTTTTCTATAATTAACAGCATTGTCTATTTGTTGATTAATATCATCATTAAGATACAACCAATGATTTAATTTAATTTGAATATGATCATTTGAATTGTTATTTATATAAAAAACTTCTAATGAAACTGATTTACTTGATTTAATTGATGAAAGTTTTTCAAACATAATTTGCCATTTTGAATAAAAATTAAAATTTTCAATAGACGAACCTCGACATCTAATCCATAAATGTTTGACATTTGATAGATTTGATATTTGCGAACATAAAAATTGAAGCAATGATATATTATATAAATTATTATTTATATTCATAATAAAATCTTTTTTAAACAAATTATTTTGTTGAAAATAAAAAGATTGTTGCAATTGATTTGATTGAGAAGCATCAAATAAAATCCATTGATCAGAATAAATTGATTTATATTCCCATATTGAATCGGATATAATTTCATTATTTTCTAAAATAGTTATTTCAGGAATTTTTCTATTTGCATTTGAATAATTAAATATAAGAAAATCTTCAAAAAATTCTTTTATATTATTTCTTAATAATCCATTAGAAATCGGTGTTTCTTGTGCATCATTTTTAATAAAATGA